CAAAGACCTTGGGATAAGCTCTGGCTTTGCTCCAGCTACATTAATCTGCACGGCACTCAGGTTGGAAGCATCAAAGGAAACCATCTTGCCTCCACATAGCTTCGCAACTTTCCTGAATACCTCCATCTTCCATAGATGGAAAGGCAACCCAATAATTTTCAGATTGATAAGTTCTGTGGGTTCTACCAACTGTACATTGCAAAAAGGCTTCCATTTCTCCAACACCACCACACTTTGCTCTGTTACAGACGAAACAGTAGCAAAATCCAGAGGAATCCTCTGAAAATACACTACAGCCTTGTGGTCGTCAAAGGGAGAAACCTGCAACACCTCTGTAGTGTTCATTATCTGTTGGACTTCTTCACCTAGTCTCTCCCAATCTTTTACTTTCTTGTTTACCGAGAGGACAAGTTTAAGCTGCCAATCCTCTTTAGGTTTGTTCACCCACAATTTCACCAAACCTAGTTCAGCATCAATCTGCAATTTACTTTCCATCCCTATCTCCTCCTCTCCTGGGAGGAGTTGAGAAGGGTAAGGGCCGTAAGGCAAAGTTGGGTGAAGGAAAGGAAAGAAGTACTGAAGAGATTGTGGCTTCAGTTGGCAAACTCATCACAAGCTGGGCCATTTCTCTTCCAGAATTTGAGCAAATCAGATTTTTTGACTTTGCTGATAATTTTTGATACTTGTTACTTGTTAGAGATCCAATCTTGTAATGTGAATCAGTTAGTCTGAACTGAAGTTTGATGTATGCTTGCTTTGATTTAGGGTGTCATCTTGACACCTGAACAGCTTGTATCTGTTTTTCGTTTTAATAAAATTTTTACTCTTATTCTTAAAAATATAATAATTTGGCCCTAGAGAGGAATGGGTTTGGCAAGAAATGGAGAAAATTGACGAGGGACTGTCTAAATTTGTTCCACTATTCAATTCTTGTAAATGGATCTGCTAAAGACTTTTTTCTTGCTAAGAGGAGACTTGGACAAGGGGACCGCCTGTTATCTTTCCTCTTCACTATTATGGCTGTTGTGTTTAGCAAGGTCTTCTAAAGTGAATAAGCTGGACCTGGTGCGTAGGTGGAAGGTTGGGGTAGAGGAAAGGCAAATACAACAGCCAAACCTATGTCATAGGTTTGAGGAGCTGTTGCCTTTCCTCTCACTCAAACATGTCATAAGGGTTGCGCACTCAAGTTTTAAGAAATTATTTGAAGGGTTATGCTATGACATTTGTATCCTTCAAAATGGAATGCTGCAATTTGATGCAGATCCTCAACCTGGTATTTGGCATAGGTTTGGGTGACCTACTTTTTTATTTATTTTTGGTAATTTTTTAACACTGTTGTTGTGCATCAAAGAATGAATGTAGCTGAGATGGATGAATAGCAAGACTAGAAAGGAGAGAATCAGTTTGGTGCAAGTAAAAATCTCTAGAAGACCAAGAGGAAGACCAGAGAAAATGTGGTATACTGGTATGAAATGATAAAAATGACTGAAGGACTTATAAGTTGACAGAAAACTTGGCTCCAGATAGAGCACAATGGCAGGACAGGGTTCGCTCTAGGAGTTGAGTCGAGAGTTGCTTTGCTTCAATCTTTGATGTTTGTTTTTCTGTATTGCTTCAACATTTTGAAGTTGAATCCTATGAATATTCTTTAAGAAACTGATAATATAATTTTTTTAACAACAGGAACTAAAGTAGAAGGGATTTTGCGACAGTCTGCAGATGTGGAGGAGGTTGACCGCAGAGTTCAAGAATATGAGCAAGGTTTTCATGTTATGCAACTTTTTGCATCGTATCTTGACATTGATTATAACTTGGGGAATCTTTTATCTGCCATATTTAGTTAATTCATTCAAATGCCTTCACATGAGGTTGTTTGTCACTGTTACTAGGGAAGAGTGAATTCAGTTCTGATGAGGATGCTCATGTTGTTGGAGATTGTGTCAAGGTGCTTTCTGTGTTGATATACTTGCTACATCTCTAGACTATATATATGTATATATTTACTCTGTTGACTTTTACTTGGTTCCTGTATTTCCACGGAATTATATCAATTTCTGACCAGGACCTCATTTAGTAGCTTGTTTGTAAATATTTTTGGTTTGCAGCATGTTCTTAGGGAGCTACCATCCTCTCCAGTTCCTGCATCTTGCTGCACTGCATTGCTAGAGGCATATAGTAAGTTTTGCTGGACATATTGCTATTAATTTCTGTTCCATTTTGTTGATTATTTGATTATGTGCCATCTAGTGTATGATTTATTTCCCAGTTATTTTAGTGAGATGATCTAGTTCTGCTTGTTCTTTTTTTTTTTTTGATAAGAAATGGTAACTTTCATTAATTACACTAAAAGATTACAAGTATCACCACCCAAAGAAAGGATGGTGATCCCTCAAATCATAAATCTTACAAGTTGTGCTTGTTCCCACATTCAGCTGTATTGAGTTCTTGCATACTTTGAATGATAAAATTACTTGTACCTCCTCGTGGGTTTTGGTCAGATACTTGTATCTCCCTTCAGGTTTACCTAATAACTTATGCCTCCTTTGACCACCAAACTGTAAGAGGTTTGTAAATGGAAGAGATGGTTTTAAGACAGAAATAGGTATTTTACCAAAACATCCTTAACAATAGAATATGAAGTTTATCTCCAGAATATATATTTTGAAATTGATAAATTTACTATATTTAGAAATACTAAATACAGGTTTTCCATTTTAAATTTTTATTTTATTTATTTATTTTTCTGATCCTGTTTTTAACTTTTATTCCACCATACTGTTGAGGTAGAAAAAATTTGTCCCTTCAATAAGTATCAATAATTTTTTTTTCCTTATGATATAGAAGAAAGTACCAGAAAGGAGTAAAGTAGACCTTAACATTTTGGTCTTTTTTGTTAATATACCAAGCAATGACCCCCAGGGGTGGAATAAGTAACTTAATCTTAAATTACAAGGGGGTGTAAGTTAACGGTTAAACCATTGGGGATGTCTTAGTATTTGATCAAAACCCCAGGGGAGGTTCTACCCAAGTTCTTATAATGGTTCTTTAGTTAGGTTGTATACCCTATAGCTATCTTATGTAATGAAGTCATTTTGTGAGTTTGATGGCTTTATTGTGCTTCTTTCTCTCTCTCTTTTAATTGCTATTGGATTTATGCTTTTTTTCTTTTGGATGGTGCTCCATTTCTTAAGGAATTGAGCAGAAGGAAGCTCGAATTAGTGCCATGCGCTCTGCAATACTGGAGACATTTCCAGAGCCAAACAGACGATTACTACAGAGGTTTTCCCCCCATTCCTCTACCAACAGAAAATTGTTTTCTTTCCAATTGTTCACTCCTCTTTATTTGTTTTCTTTATTTGTTTTCATGAAAAACTGCATTGTGGTATTTAAAGTGCTTTTTGATTCACATGCTTTGTTGTCAGTATATTTCAATATAGACATTCCTATGCAGGTCTATTCCCATTTTCTAAAGAACAAAGCTTACTAAAGCAATTAATTGATTCTCTCTCAGTTACATACTTGGGCCATGTTTGGTTCAATTCTCATTCTTTCTCATTTCTTACCCAAGATGAAATTTTAAAATGGACGATAAAAATAGGCAGAATGAGAAAAAGTATTGCTATGAACCAAGCACTTTTTTCCTAAAAATGAATTCTTTTCAGACTGACAAGTGTCCTATGTAAAAGTTTTCATAAAAGTGCTTTTGTAAAAGTGCTTTTTGTAAAAGTACTTTTATGAAAGTACTTTTGTGAAAGTGCTTTTATAAAAGTACTTTCATAAAAGTGCTTTTATAAAAGTATTTATGTAAAAGTGCTTTTACAAAAATGCTTTCACAAAAGTACTTTTGTAAAAGTTCTTTCATAAAAGTACTTTCATAAAAATGCTTTCGTGTAAAAGTACTTTTATAAAAGTGCTTTTGTAAAAGCGCTTTATTTAATTGCTTTCATAAAAGTACTTTTATTAAAGTGCTTTCGTGTAAAAGTTCTTTCGTGTAAATGTTCTTTCGTAAAAGTACTTCCACGATAGTCTGCTAGTAAACATCTAGGGCAACAGTTTTGTAGGCAGAGTTTCCTCAAAGAATGAAAATGAGCAAGATGGGGCATGATTATTTTTCATGCTGCAGGCTACCTCAATTTTTGTGCTATGGGCTTATTTTTCATTCTAAAAAGAATGTGGCCCATGGCAAGAATTTTGTAACCAAACACTCTAATGTTATTCATTCTTGCCCAAAATGAACAAGAATTAAAAGAATGAGGCCCAGAGCAATGAATCAAACATGGCCTTAACCTCCACAAATTGGATGTGACAATTTGCCTTCTATCATCCCTATTATAGAAGACTATTTTAACATGCTAATTGTGTTTGTCATGGACAAGATATAACATTAACACTAGTTGTGGATATTGTGTGGATCTTAAAATGTGCAATACTAAATTTACTTATCTTTTTTTTTTGAATTCTTAAATCACGATGAAATAATTGAAAGTTGGGTTGAGTAAATAGTGGACAGTCATCAGGTCTCCCAAGGACAAGTTGCAAAAACTTTGTCTCATTGCCATTGATATTCTCATAGGGCTGTGCCTCCTGGCCAGGTTCTTCATAAGTTCATATCATATGAGTCCTACCATTTGATCAAGTTCAACTGAAAGCTGTTTCTTTCTTAACAATGTCAGAATTCTGTACTGTTTTTTTTTTTAATTCTTTCCCTTAAATTATAGCCTTCGATACCATTTATGACGGCTAGGGCTTATTGAATGATATATATATATATATATATATATATATATATATATATATTTCATTCCAAAATCATCCAGCAAAATACAATTCAGAATAAGTCAACTCCACTGATTTGAGTATTTTTTGCTTTATTTTTTTAGTGAATAAGTCACTAAGGAGGTTATGAGCTCCTTAATGGCTGAATCTGAAGTTGAGTTTTACTTCCCTACAATATGTATTTTTGATTATTTTATCCACTAAAAGACAAAGTAATAAATTATTCAGTTCAGCCACTTAAGCTGTTATAAAGTGCCCTTTAACTTATCCCTTCTTAAGGATCCTTTGTTACTGGTTATGTAGCCTTTGCCTAAGACTTTCAAACTTATTTTATCCTCCATGTTGGTCTTCTTTACCTCTGAAGTCTTAAAGAGCCAATAAGGTTACAAGCCCAAAACTTTCTGATTCACTATAGTTATGCCAACTGCCATCCATCTCAAGATAGCTTGGTTTTGCTAAAACATCAATATGTATCTTTAATTTCCTCTAATTAATCCTTTCCAAATCAAAATCTTAAATGGCTTTTTGTTGTGGTTTCAAAGCTACCTACTTGTGTGCAAAATAGCAATATTTTGTCAATAATGTCACTGAATTATTATCTTGACCTTGCATCTTTGCGCTGTAAGGAGTTTCATTAACTCATCAATTACATATGGCTATTGGGGTAATCTTTAATTTCAACTTTCATTTATTTTTCTTTTTGTTCATAGAATCCTGAAAATGATGCATACAATTGCTGCTCATGCCTCTGAGAATCGAATGACTCCATCAGCTGTTGCTGCTTGCATGGCACCCTTGTTGTTACGACCACTTTTAGCAGGTGAATGTGAACTGGAGGATGACTTTGATGTTAATGGTGATAACTCGGCTCAGCTTCTTGCGGCAGCAAATGCAGCTAATAATGCTCAAGCTATTGTTACGACTCTTTTAGAGGAGTATGAGAATATATTTTATGTAAGATTCCTTGAATCAGTGTACTGTATCTTCATATTTGCTTTTTTTATTTGGTAGATCATATTTGTTTATTAATGTTTTATTGTTTTTTTAATTCACTTATTGCATGTGGTAAAACTTTGGAAATTAAATTGCTAATGTATCTACATCACATCCACTTGTAAGTTCTCCATAGAGTAGTCAAAAAATCCTAAATGTGGTTATTTCAGAACTCAGTGGATTGAATTTGGGTCCTGTTGTACTATGTTATAATTTGCTTTAATAAATTTTTATCTTACCTTCTTCAAAAGAAAGTTTGGGCTGGAATTTGTCAGTTTATCATAATGAAATATATTTTGTATGCTTGGAGAAAATTTACTACCTTTTGCTTTTACATAGGATGGATACTATCAAATTCCATTATGTTCTTGTTTAGAGCTGAAGAAAAGAAGGAACTGGAGAGTTGTATCACCTCATGTATCATTGTTAACTTGCTGGTGTTAAATGTAGATTTGCTGGAATTAATATGTACTTGGTCTATAATAAAGGACGAATATTGGTTTGGGATGTGCATTCATCCACCAAATTTCTTGCAGTTTTTTGTTTATAAATTCTGGAACTGGTATATGCTCAATTTTGAAAATACACCCAACATTATTTATTCACTAATGCTGTTATATGGTACTGCATTTTTGATATAGAAAGTTAATTATATAAAATACATGACTACTATTTGGTCTCATGTGCTGTAAACTTTTAGTACAGTATTGCGTTATGAGTTTGTATTTTTCATGTTTCAAGTTTACTTTCACATTCTACTGTTGCTGGTATTCTATTTATTGGTTAATGCATTTAGAATATTCAATGTACGGGGAGGGATGTAGCTGAAGATAGGGTCTCTGATCTCTCCATTGCTAGTCCTCTCAATAGACTTGACTGATAGGGCTCAGCTTTCACCATAGATGATAGAGTGTCATTAGGGAGGGGGATATGTTGGGCCCTCATGGATGACTTCTGGGCCTCTACTTTCCTTTGAGCGTCTCTTCTAGAAAGTCTGTGTCAGTATTGGTATATGCACATGGATGCATATAACACTCTCTCTTATGATGCATAGCAACTTATGTTGTCATTTATATTTTCAGGATGACCATCTACATAGATGTTCTCTTTCAGCTGATTCTCAGATGGAAAACAGTGGGAGTGAGGACTCCAGTGATGATGAAAATCTAGATATGAAAGATAATGGATACCACGATGCAGAGAATGAAGTTGATCCAGAAATAGATGATGATCCTGAACGTGTCCTCAGCGGAAAATTGAGTGAAAGCAGTGGTTATGCTGGCAGTGATCTTTATGATTATAAGGTCCTGTTTCTCTTTCTTCAGAGTATTTTTTTCTAGCTTGTATGTTTTGTGTGTAACAATTAACAACAGAAAATATATTTTTATAGTATTGCTTAGCTCCTGTATTGTGCTTGTAACGGTGATGTAGAGATCTTACTACCATTTCAGCGGAAATTTTGTCTCATTTATTTCTTAGGGATCCTACTTTTCTTTTTTATTTTGAAAATGACAAGTATTATAATCATACATGTATGCCAAAAACTAACAGCAGTAGCTGTGTACAATAAGGTACTGTACAAAGAAAGTGTACAAAAAGACAATACCATGCTCACCTGCTTACATGAAATGTATCAAATCAAAAAAGAATTGTAAGGTACTAGCAACCAAATCTTCTTAGGTCAAGTTGCCTTCAAAGATACATGTATTGCTTTCTTAGGTATTTCTTCTGCATATTGCAATAGGTTTCTTAAAATTTTTGGTCATTTAGGTGGTGGTAGAATTTATGCTAATGGCAAATATAATTTTCTTCCCATCCCATGTAATCTATAGAAAATATGCCAATTGAATGGGAGGTTAATGCTATTTTATGTTTTTAAGTTACCATAGAATTGTGTAACATCCAGATAGTTCAATTACTACGTTGCATTGTTAAGAATCCCTTGTAACATATTTTTATTTTTTTGATGAGTTTGTAACAACTTTGTTTTTGACAAGGATAGGCTGTTTATAGGTTTGAAGTATACTGTTTTATAGTTTTTGTATTTCCCTTTTTGCTGTAATTGGTTGATCTATTTATGCTATGTTTGGTTTGAAGGAAAAAGTAGGGAAGGGTAGGGAAACCTATACAAGGTTTGTAAAGGTTTCCTTACCCTTCCCTGCTTTTTCCTTCAAACCAAACACAGCCTTAATATAATACTTTTTCAGGAAAAAAGTGCTTGCACCTTTACACACCAATCCAGTTACTGATATATAGGGATTCTGTGGGCCTCATGGGTCAGAGCCTTACTCAGATTGATTCTTTTACCATTGTGAGTCAAACTCTTATTGATCCACCATAGGTTGTGGGGGGTATTGATCAAGGATGATTCTCGGATTGTGACAGCAAAAGGGTGGAAAAGGTGTTGGTTAGGGTTTGCAGTGCCTACACCCTGATTTCTGAGGCATGATCTCTAATATCTGTTAATCTAGCAGTTCGAACAAGGAGAGCACACACAAGTTAAGGTGTGTCAATAGAATGAATGGCCCCCACCTCCAAAGAGTCTTATATATTAATGATATGCACAATTACAAGAAAGCCTTTACAGGGCTGAAAGAAAGAAATAAAAGAATACGTAGAGTACAACTGGGACTATAATAATACAATACACCAAAACTCTCCACATTCCCCCTCAAACTGATACCACTTCACATCAGTTTTCTCACAAGAAAGAGATGTTTGGAGATGGAGAGTGATAGCTTTGGGGAAGATATGATGGAGAAAGAAGACATGGAGGACATGCTTAGCGCAGCTGCTGAACTGTTCGTTGGAGAACATAAGGATTTAACCTCTAATCAAAACTATCCTAACAATGGTGGAATGCTGAAAGATGCAGAGTACAATTTGGAGGATAAAAGGGAAAACGGTGTACCAGAAGAGGAAATCCAAGTCAGAGAATGAACAGTGAGCAAGGAATGGGTAAGATAATATCAATCAATATCCAAACTTCGAACAAAGGCGTAACAGAGGGGGATAAACGACAGAGTGATGGAAGTAGTTGCGAGTCCGAATCAGGTTCAGAAAATTCCTCGCAAAATTATATTCTGGGAGTGAATTGTGAAGTCCAGATTAGTGTCGGTTTACTTGGTCAAATCTCCAAGCTGATCCAATTTGTTCAAAATTAGACAGATTTTTGTTTACTATTGATTGGGAAGAATATTGGGGGAGATCTGATGTCAAGGACACTGCCTAGGGTCACCTCTGATCATTGGCCAGTTTTGATTAATAAGGTGGATCCTAGGAATAGAGGACCTATCCCATTCAGATTCGAGAACATGTGGTTATCCCATCCAGGTTTTAAGGAGAAAGTGAAAGAATGGTGGGTAGCAAGTGTTCCAATGGCTAATTGGGAGGGTATGAAGTTTCAGTGGAAGCTGAAGGAGTTGAAAATCAAAATCAAAGAATGGAATATTCTCCAATTTGGGAGGCTTGAGGAAAGAAAACAACAGTTGATGAATAAGATTGAGGAGCTAGATGCAAAAGAAGAACAAGGTGAGTTTGGGGAAAGGGACAAGGAGCTTAGGTGGGAGTTGAGGAAAAACCTGGAGGATGTTCTCTTCAAAGAAGAACTTAGTTGGAGACAGAAGTCCAGACATAAGTGGGTGTAAAGGAGGGAGATAGAAACACAAAATTTTTTCATGTTGTAGCCAATGGCAGGAGGAAGAACTTGATATCCAAGCTAGTGATAAATGATGCAATATTGGCTCAGTAGGAAGAGATTGAAGGGGCCTTTGTGGACCATTTTAAATCAATTTTTAGAAGGCCTATGCCGAGCATATTACAGATTGAGGGTTTGGAGTGGCCAAGACTACCGGAAGAGTCAAGGGTGTGGTTAGAGAGAGAAGCTTTGAATTGGAAGAAGTAAGGGTAGCCATATTTTCAATGAGTAGATCTAAAGCACTTGGTCCTAACGGTTTTACGATGGCTTTCTATCAAGACTGCTGGGAGATTCTGAAGGATGACATCCAACAAGTGTTTTCTGAATTCTTTGAAAGGGGGGTGATTAATCCAGGCCTCAATTCTACATTCTTGGCTCTGATCCCAAAAAAGGGAGATGCCTGTCACCCCGAAGAGTTCATACCCATTAGCTTGGTACACAGCCTTTATAAAATCATTGCTAAGGTGCTTTCTCGGAGGATTAGAGAAGTCCTACCCTTAATAATTTCCCCAAATCAGGGTGCCTTTGTGATGAGTAGACAAATTGTGGATCAAATCCTGATTGCAAACGAAAGTGTGGAAGACTTCAAAAGAAGTGGGAAGAAGGGGTTAGTGTGCAAATTGGATCTTGAAAAGGCATATGATATGGTGGATTGGTCACTTCTACTGGAAGTCTTAGAGTCTTTTGGATTTGGGTAGAAATGGTGCAAGTGGGTGAAAGGATGTATTAGGACTTGCCACTATTCCATCTTAGTGAATGGGAGGGTGGTAGATCATTTCCAGGCTACCAGGGGTATCAGGCAAGGAGACCCCCTTTCTCCTTTCCTGTTTACTCTAATTGCTGAAGTCTTGGGAAAACTCATTGAGAGAGCAGACTCTAGAAATTTGGTGAAAGGTTGGAGGGTAGGAAGGAATAAGGTCCCAGTAACGCATTTACAGTTTGTTGATGACAGTTTTTTTTTTTTTTTTTTTTTGTGGTGGGGAGGAGGTGAGATGGGTGAGTAACCTAAAGCAAGTGATAAATGTTTTTGAAAAGGTGACTAATCTTAAAGTTAATTTGGACAAGAGCTCTGTGATTGGCATTAATTTGAGTGAAAGTGAGGTGGAGGATAGGGCCTGCACTTTGGGATGTGAGATCGCACAATGGCCGTTGATCTATTTGGGGCTGCCACTAGGGGATAACCCAAGTAAAAAGAGTTTCTGGAACCCGGTGATTGAGAGATTCACTAAGAGGTTAGCATCTTGGAAGAAAAATTACCTATCCATGGGAGGTAGAATAACTCTGATCAAATCTAGATTGGCAAATCTGCCAGTGTACTTTTTGTCGGTGTTTAAAATGCTTGGAGGAATTTGTGGGATTTTGGAGAAATTAATGAGAGACTTCTTATTGGAACCAGGAGAGGAGAAAAAAGATCATAGGGTCAGGTGGGATATGGTTACCAAAACCAAAAATGATGGTGGGCTTGCTTTAGGTAATTTGCAGAAAAAAAAATGCAGCTCTACTGGGGAAATGGCTTTGGAGATTGACTTTGGAAAGGGATAAATTATGGGCTCAAGTGGTCTTAAGTATTCATGGGCAAGCGGCAGATGGCTGGGACTCTGGAGCTTCAGTTAGGGCTACGAGAGCTTCTCCTTGGAAATCAATTCATGTCATCCTTCCTTCTTTCCTTCCTTTAATCAGGTATGATATGTACTCTGGTAATCTTGTGAAATTTTGGGATCATGTTTGGGTGGGAGACATTCTGCTAAAGGAGCTATTCCTGTCTTTGTATTCTCTATCACGTTTTAAAAATGAGCCAGTCTCCACTTTCTTGACTTCTTCTAGTTCATCATTGATTGGAATTTGGGTTTTAGAAGGGCCCTTAGAGACCCGGAATTGAACCCCATTGCTGACCTGCTAAAAATCCTTGAGGGGGTGACTATTGATCCACTCAGGAGGGATAGTAGGATTTGGACTCCTTCGGGTGTCTTCTCATGTTCATCATTCTTCAAAGTATTGGCTCATTCCCCACCTGTCTTTGGAATCCCTTTTCCAGTTCTGGAAGTCTGGGGTAGATCAATTCCTCCTAGAGTAGTGCATTTTGTTGGGAAGTTTTCCTTGAAAAATGTAACACTTGCGACTTACTTCAAAGAAAAAGGCCTAATTGGTGTTTATCCCCACACTGTTGCATTCTTTGTAAGAAAAATGGTGAGAATTGTTATCACTTACTGGTTTCTTGTCCATTTGTTTCAGAAATCTGGTGTTGTTTTTTCTACTTTTTTGGATGCAGGTGGACCCCTCCCTCAAATGTACAAAGTCTATTCCATTCTACTACTGTTAGGGGGCTAAAGAAGAGAGGGAAAATTCTATGGAGATGTGTAAGAGCAGCTGTATGTTGGGCAGTTTGGGAGAAAAGGAACCAACGGACCTTTCATGGGAAAGAAAGAAATAAAGGTGTAATTACTGAATTAATTTCCATAAGGGTGATTCAGTGGGCTAAGACTACAAATTTTTGAAAACTATTCAGAAGGAGATATCATCAGGAAGTGGAAAGAAGTGGCTTGGTCAGTACCAAGGAAGAATGTAATTCACCCTGTTTGGTCCCCACCAGCTTCAGGGTTCACTAAA